CGGCTGGCTACCTCCCCGACTTCCTCACCCCGCCACAGCCCCCCTCCGGCTTCTCCTTCTCCTGCCCCCGGCAGCTCAAAGTGCCCCCTTACTTGGGCTACCGGTTCCTGGGGGAGCGGGACTGCGGGGCCCCCTGCGAGCCAGCCCGGCCAAACGGGCTCATGTACTTCAAGGAGGCGGAGGTGCGATTTGCCCGGCTGTGGGTGGGCGTGTGGTCTGTGCTCTGCTGCGCCTCCACCCTCTTCACCGTGCTCACCTACCTGGTGGACATGCGCCGTTTCAGCTACCCAGAGCGGCCCATCATCTTCCTCTCAGGCTGCTACTTCATGGTGGCAGTGGCCTACGCGGCAGGTTTCTTGCTGGAGGAGCGGGTGGTGTGTCTGGAGCGCTTCTCTGAGGACGGCTACCGCACTGTGGCCCAAGGCACCAAGAAAGAAGGCTGCACCATTCTCTTCATGATCCTCTACTTCTTTGGCATGGCCAGCTCCATCTGGTGGGTCATCCTGTCCCTCACCTGGTTCCTGGCTGCTGGCATGAAGTGGGGCCACGAGGCCATCGAGGCCAACTCCCAGTATTTCCACCTGGCTGCCTGGGCTGTGCCCGCTGTCAAAACCATCACCATCTTGGCCATGGGGCAGGTGGATGGGGACGTACTCAGTGGGGTGTGTTACGTAGGTATCTACAGCGTGGACTCGCTGCGGGGCTTTGTGCTGGCGCCCTTGTTTGTGTACCTCTTCATTGGCACTTCCTTCTTGCTTGCTGGCTTTGTGTCCTTGTTTCGCATCCGCACCATCATGAAGCATGACGGCACCAAGACGGAGAAACTGGAGAAGCTGATGGTGCGCATCGGTGTCTTCAGTGTCCTCTACACGGTGCCTGCCACCATTGTCCTGGCATGTTACTTCTACGAGCAGGCCTTCCGTGGCACCTGGGAGAAGACGTGGCTCCTCCAGACCTGCAAAACCTATGCCGTGCCCTGTCCCAGCCACTTTGCCCCTATGAGCCCGGACTTCACGGTCTTCATGATCAAGTACCTCATGACCATGATTGTTGGGATCACGACTGGCTTCTGGATCTGGTCTGGCAAAACCCTTCAGTCCTGGCGACGCTTCTACCACAGACTCAGCACCGGCAGCAAAGGCGAGACGGCAGTATGAGACCCCCCTGCCCCTTCTGGCACACACACACGCACTCATGCACACACGCAGAGGAGAGGGATACACAGCAGAAGAGGAAGGCAATGGCTCCCTGAAGAGGGAGGAAGGGAGGCTTTTTCTAAACTTTTTCTTCCTCCCAGAAAGTTTGGGAAAAAAAAAATCTTTGCATAAAGGATCAGACGGACTGTGTCCAGTGGTGCTTATGCCCAGCTAAGTAGAAGAGCACAGAAAAAGAAGCCACTGGTGGGATGGGAGAGTCCTTCCCACGCAGGAAGTCCCCTTACCTCTCTCTCCTACCACCCCTGTGCAGGAAAAAAAACCCAACCCGACTAAAAACATCCTGTCTTGCTTTGGATGAGAGGAAGGGGAAGCCAGATCTATTGAGCTGCTCCCGCTGAGAAGTAGCCAAACCCTCTCTGAACTGCTGGGGTCAAACTGCAGCGCAGGCAGGGTAGCTCCCCAGCCTGGGCTCACCGCCTGCTCCCTCCAGCTCGGCGGAGCCATCACGTGAGTACTGCGCAACCAGCTACAGCCCAGACCGTGTGCTGGTGAGATGCCTCTGTTCTGTCAACTCACAAGTTCCTTTTTACCTCAGTGATACCTGTTTTAATTGTTTTAGAGTGAAAATTCGGCCCTTGGTCTGTTGTTCTTGCTGCTGTGGGGAAGGAGGGGGTTGCTACTCCACACCCTGAAAAGAAATGACTTGTTGCTTTTCAGCAGAAGGCTTTTCCCCCTTGCCTTTGTTCTAGGAGACAAAGGGGGAGACAAAAGTGTTTTCTATGTAGAAAGGCATAAGCATGGGATCGGTTTTTATGGGCAAACTAACAAAAAGAAGTCGTTGAGGTTCACCCTTGGATGTGAGGAGCTCGCAGGAATAAACATTCCTTTTATGAAAAGAGGAGAAGGCAGGATGTTTTCCTACCGTTCAATATGGGTCGTTTTTCTAAGCTGAAGGAAACGCAAGACTTAGAGGGCAAGAAGAGAGTAACCGAGAGCACCTGCCAAAACAAGAGCCATTAAAATATGTACCGTAAAGATACGATATTTTTCTTTCCTTCCTGTAAACTTGCTTTCTCTCCTGCTTTGCAGTGAGCTCGTTGCAGGTAAAGTCAATACACAGCCAGCTTCTGGGGACAGGAGGGATCCTTTTGGCTCATGATGGACCCTTTGCCTGCTCCTCAGGTTCTCCGGACTGCATAGCAATGACTCGTGGTGCAGGAGGGGGTTGGTGTTTAAAAGCAAGCAAGTACCACAAGTGAGGAGCCTTCTCATTTCAGCTAAAATACAGCTCGTTAAGTTTCCTGTGATCATATCTTGGAAGGAAAGACATTCAAAAACTAATCATGAAATGCATCGTTTTCTTTTTGAAATGTGATAGATTTTTCTATTCTGAAATTTTCATGTTGACATGTTCATATTTTATTTTTTGCATACTACTTTACCTTTATATTCACTGAAGGGTTGTTTTTATAAGTATATGTGTGTGTGTGTATATTCTTGCCTAAGGACAAAATAGGAAATTCTGGATTTTTAGCAAGTCTCCACCCTATAGCTGCTCTTCATTTTTTGGGGGGAAAAGTGTCTGGAATGAAACTTAAAAAGAAAAAACCTGTTCAGGGTGAGGGGGGAGGCTGCTGCTGTCTGAGGGCGTACCAGTAGTCTGGGTATGAAGAATGGGCCCATCAGCCAAATCCTTCAGTAGATCTGATCTCAGACTTGCCGGGCTTGGGTTTTTGTCTTTTATAATGTGCACGTGGAAGAAAAATAAAAAAACCAAACGTGTAAGACAAGTGCAGTATGTATATTTTGTAAATCTCATTTTTGTAAGAAAATATGTATTTATGTTTTTACTTGATTTTTTTGAAGGTCTGTATGAGGCCCTGCTTCACCCCATGTACAGATCACTAAATAAATAATTTTTAATACAAGGGCTCCAATGAAGTTCTTTCAGTCTGAACACTCGGCAGGTCATAGAAGGGGGGACAGCTCTGTGAGTGGCATCTTCCCCCCCACTTCGTGGTGGGAGATGCAAGAGACTTTCGGGTGACTACACTACAAATATACTGACCAGAAACTCAGCTGTGACTTGAAACTGGCCTTTCCGAGTACCGTCCCGTCACAATAGATCATCACATTTTGCGACCGTTTCAAATGTTTGCCCTCACTTGAGGTACTTGCATTCTAGCCAAGTTTTCTTCCAGGCTCTGCCTCTCGCTGAGGGCAAGCTGATAAACCAGTTTCCTTATCTAGAAAATAAGGATAATGCTCTCTTCCCATTTTGAAAGGACTTTGAGATTGAGAACTGGAGGGTGCTACAAGTGCTGTAAATTAAATCCTTGCTTTGACGGGTGGAGTGTTTTAGGGAAACACTAAGGACTAGGTGCTTTTCAATAGCTTTCAAAGGCCAGTGTTTTGAACTGGCTTTTTTCTCCCCCAGCACCTTTGCTACCTCCAGTTTTGTTCAGGTGAATTTTACTTTAATCTTAATAGCTAGCCCGAAGCCTACATTCTTTCTTATCAGAGTCATCTGAAAGCTGATAGCTTCAATGGAATGGTCTATTTTATTTCATTTTTTAAACTGAAATGAATGTTTAGATCTCAAGCTGTGTTGCTACAGTCATGCAAAGGGCCCCAGCAAACAGAATTTTACACCTGTGAAATGATGATAGTTTCCAGCTTTTCTCTCGCAATGATTTAAGCCTATTTATTGGGTTCATCACCCTTCCTTTGCCTTAAACTATGGCTATACTAAAATTTAAGTTACAGAACAGAGATCTAAGATGCCTTAGCTGGATGCCATTACAGTAGCTGTGGTTGCACTGCAATATTGTTTCATTTACTGAGCGCAGTTGCACTTTCTCTCAGGGCACTATTTTATTCGGACACTGTGCTCTCAAACATAACATTTATACATTTACAGTGTACGAACTACTGATTTAAAGTTCTTTTCAGAGTCAGCCCCATTCACGCTGCCTCTCTAGAAAGGCCACATCTTTTATTTGAGAACACCTCTAGCTGTTCCCCAGAATTGCTCACTGTCAAGTTTTGTTTTTGAAAAGGCCTTTGCTTTCCTGCAAGTCAGGCTGCTTCAAACTGCTCCATGACATGAGCTCGCTGATCACTGCTGAGGGGGGTTTCATTCCACTCACTTAGGAAACCTGAACCTTTCTATAAACATTTCCTCTCATTAATCCATCAGTGCTGGCCGGAGCGACGGAACGGCTGAAACAGCTCGCGCTCTGAAGGACTGGGAACCGACAGAAGCAGTAGTGTGACTGACGCCCCTGTGCTGTGCAGCCATAGCTGCATCGCTAAACATGCAATTAATCCTTAATACATCATGGACAGCTTATCCCGCAATTCATGCAGGCGGCCTGTCCCCCCGCTCTTCTCTCCACTCACCACCCATCTTTGCTAGCTGGATGAGAAACTGCATTTAGATGTGATCGCTACTTTTTTGTCCATATGTGGAAAAACTTAAATAGACCTTTTTTTAGTTCACGAGACATTCATATCTGAAAGGAAATGTCTCTGTTTCCACCAGAAACCACTAAAGCTGAATGCTTTTATTTTAGTATTTCCTATTAGGTACTTCTGGATTTAGAGTCACTTACAAAAAACTATCCAAATCCTGGGATTTAAGTTGATTTTTAAAATTTGAGATTGCAGGTGAAATTTGATGCTGGTGTAAAGTAGAAGCAACTGCTATTCACTTTTAAGCAGATGTGACTTGCCTCAAGACTGAATTTGCTCACAGTGGAAACAATTTGGAGAATTTCAAGTAGTGATAGCGTCTGGCCTTCTGGAATAAAAATCTCTATCACCATTCTGATAACAAAGTAGCAGTTACTTTCATAATGGAGTACAATTTTTGAAAATCTCTTTGTGAAGCTGTCTGGAAAAAAGGAGGAAAAATAAGCCTTTACTAACCTTGCTAATCGCTGCAAAAGGATTTTTCTTTGAGTAATGTTTAAGTCCACTTTCAGTTAACTTTTTTTTAAGTTTAAGAAACGTTTCCTACCCTTCACCTTTGGCCCTCATCTGTGCAGCGTTTTTGGTTCACAAGACCTTGGCAAGTAATAGTTATCATTGATCAAGATCCCTCTAAGTTTACACCATATACTACATTTTCATGAAAAATATATAAACACCGGTTCTTAAGTTTCAGAGACATTTGTGTTACTTTCTAGAAGAAAGTATTATTATTTCAGGCAAGTTAAACAGGAGGCTTTAACAGTTCTAGAGTTCATGAATAGCAGCAGCAACTGAATGTTTGTCTCTGCAGAAAAAAGTGCTTTTGTAATACATCAGTGTTTGTTTGGGTTTATTTTTGGTGGAATACCCACACCAGGGATTGAATGTTTTTGTCTAAGTACTTCACCCACAACCAATAGCTTTGCATGCAAGTAGAAAACCACACATCTCTGTGTTCACCAACTGGCAACAGTAAACATTATTTATAATTTCACATGGGTTTAGAAACCAAATTACTAGCTGTGTCTTGAATAGTCTTTTTTTCTGCATCTCATTCTCACTTCCTTCCAGACCTTACAGGTACTTCGTACACACCCTGCTCTCCATACTTGCTTTCTACTCCTGTTATTTTTTAAAACCATGAATCCAGCTGAAAGAAATTTAGTCTGTTGCTTGGAGAGGAAAAGATGACTCTGAATCTTTCAGCACTATGACTGTTCATTGAGATAGACTATTGCCAAGCCTGTTCTATATAAACCAGGATAATTGTTTCATGCCAACATGAGCGTGTGGTTTTGGCAGCTACAACATCGCACAGGATAATATAGGATTGGGAGAAGAAAGACAGTGCATGGCAAGTTCCCAAATGCCCCACTTAGAACCGACACATTTTGACTAAAATGGTGCCCAAACTGTAAAACTAAAATACGTACATCAGAGTACAACGCTCTCAGACAACCAGTTTGCGCCGCAGTCAGAGGAGGATGGGGAGGGTTTTGATGCTGTTTAAACCCAAGGTCCAAGGTTGCCTGGTTCGGGTGGCTGGGCATTGCTTGTCTCAAAACCAGATCAGTGGAAGTAAGGCACAGCACTTTCTCCTAATCCAGGTAAAGACCGGGCTCAAGCACAGCGTTACCGCAGCTGCAGCCAAATAGGATTCGACTGAATGATGCACAGTGAGAACAAACAGGCCCAAACAGGGTCATGAGTGTGTACTCCTCTATATTGCTTGCTCCTCTCTGTACAGCCAGCCTAATCATGCCAGGAAACTATGGGACTGGGATAAATGAGAATATGGATAAAAAGCAGGAGTAAGCAGGGCCTAGAGCACTTTTAAAAATAACTGTAAATTGGGGGGGATCACTTATCCATATTAGTCAG